GGATGTCCTGGGTTCTTCGCTTTGAATTCTCTGCACCCATCGAGTGTTGGTAGTCCATTCTCATTCTTCACGTTTTTAGTTTATACACAGTCCTCCTTTTTCCATTGCTCTACAATTTTCTGAACGCATGTTAGAGAAACTGTGAGCATAAAAAGAAATTGTTGAGCTCTTAATCCAGTTCGTTGTTAGCCTCTCAGTCTCGTTGCAGCTTGAGAAGGTCTTCACCAAAAATTGGAAAGGAAATGTTTTCTTTTCGAGAAGCCTATAGTTAGCAATTAGCAATAAACAGATATTTTGGAAAGCAAAAGTACGCAATTCTCCGAACAATGTTTAAAACGGAGCAAAATGTCACGCGCGCGTAGTTTTTTGTCAACCTGTAGTAGCAGCGGCGCCTCTGACGTAATCTGCAAGCTTTTTTCGCGCGAAGCGGGTGTGATATTTGCGTCCTACGGGTGGAATTCCTCCTTGAGGTAACTTCTATTCAAATCCGCAATCATGGACAAAGTTCGATTCAAATCCAATTCATTCTTCGAGGGCTGGGGCAGTGAAGGGTAGATAGTGCCGAAATCCGCGGATTTCAGTGTTAATTTTAGGAAGATCTGTCACAAGAAGGGAACAGTCTGAAAAAGGGTTTAAGAAGCTGGAAATAACTTTCGTGCAGGGTTATGGACCATATGAATCAGGTCAAATTGAGAAGTCCGCATTAATATGGTGCATATCCAACAAGAACTTGGAAATGGGGCTTGCCTCTCCTCCCATGTGATGCGGTAGATACTTGCTATCGATGAACTGTGCAATGCCTTCTTTGGTGACATGATGAATTTGCGGATGCGCTGGGTCCAACCATGACTTCACGACCTGTAGGGAATACTTTCTCAGGAGTTCTTTGGATATTGCAGACGCTAAATTATCAGTTCACCTTCCATGAAGCATTGAAAATGGGTGGCGATTCAAAAATGATCATATCATGAACGGTGTTTGGGTAGTAATATTTGACAGCATGTAGGATGAACTTGAAAATTTTCAGATCCTGAAAATATTACAAGCATAATTACCAATGAATAGAATATGAAAATTACTATCTTGTGTTGTCATACCATGTTTTTCATACTGGTCCCAGTCATATCGACGACAATCGTTAGAGGATCCGCTTTCGTATCCATTGTGTGGCGCTCTAGCCAAAATATGAAGACATTCTCGAAACCGGTGTCTCCTGGTCGGTACTGCGCTAGGTTGATCCATACTGAATGCGCAAAACTTGATGAAGGTAGAGATTTTTCGATTTTAAGAAGTGAAATAGGATTATCTGAATTCATTCAAGAGAAACCAAAAAATGATTATTATGTGGCACTTTTTGTAAGTACTCTTTACTTTCCACTTTTCGAAGATTGTTTGGAATTTTTCTCAAAATTTCTGAGGATAAATCTGACTAGAAATTTTTGCAAAGAGAGAGTCTAGGTCACGCACGAATAGAACACCCACGAATCCATTCTTAGAACCCGAATGTCACATCCAGCCCCCAAGCATTAGAGCCAGAACGCTGCTTTGGATCACCAAACTTTTTGAAAACCTATTTTGGTTTGCACCGCTGTACACGAAGGCCACGTTCGCATGGCTTGAAAGCGCCTTGCACCCAGCTGTTAAACAAAACTTGTAATATAAAAGCATTCACAGTGCGTTTCAACGTATAAGGACACTCCTGGGAACAGCTGTTTTCAGTTAGGATAAAGGATTCATGACGTGCAACTCATTAGTTCAAATTAAGCATGCTTTTAAAGCCACGAGTCAGGATTAGGCAACCAGCAGAAGTTCTTCCCAGGGTGCGATAGTGGGCTCCCCAAGCACTGAGGGCGCGACACTATCGCGACCCAAAAGTGCGCGGCAATGGCGCTAAGGCCTTGCCCGCCGCGCTGCCCGCGCTGCCAGCGTAATGCTGGTGTCAGAGTTCGCGATCCGTCGCAGGTTCCGCCGATTTGCGCGATTTTCGCGATTTGCGCGATTCTACGCGATTTTCGCGATTTGCGCGATTCACGCGACGGGTCACGGAAATCACAAGTGCCCGATCAATAACCCTTGCCTAATGTTTGAACAAAATAACGCATCATTCAATGCGACTCGCCCTGTCTTTAACACTATAAATAACTCAGTTTGGAGGGCAATACGGGCTGTAAACATTTTTATAATAAAATTTTAAATTGCCTTCTGTTCCGAAAGTATAGGGGTACTCTGGGCAAGAAGATTCAAAAAGTAAAATTTCTCTTTTGTCAACTCATTTGCGATTGTGTGTGTGCATGTTTAGTGAAAGCACACTACCTCTTTAATGTACCTGGACCATTATAGCTTCCTAGCTGACAATAAGAACAAGTTTGTGCGAAGGTCAAATGCTTCAGGCAGCTCGACGTAGTCAATTTCCTGGCTGTATCAACTTCCTATTGGAGTTTCAGCTTTTTATGCAAATAACAGAATCTCCTAAAAGGCCACTAGTATTATTCAAATAGGAAGTACGTAATATCCGGCATCCCCTTCACGGTTCTGTTGCCCCAGTCAACCAGATTGTGAACTTCTACCTTTGCAAGAATTATCATCTGGAGTGCTGTCAACCTTAATCCCAATTTGCGAGAATTAATGATGAAGGCCCCCGACTGGCTGGGTAAGCGCCACGGAACAGCTCGCTTCAAACTAGGAGAAGCATCCTGACAGATTCAGCAGGTGGTGTTGCAGAATAGGGAGGCACCTTCGTCAAGGGACTAGTCAAAATGTCTTTTGG